GCCGGATAAATAAATAAATAAATAAAGCAAGCAAGCAAGCAAGCAAGCAAGCAAGCAAGCAAGCAAGCAAGGTGGGACACAAATCTAATAAACAAACTTGCAGTCCAGTAATATCTGTTACTGATTATGGCTTCCTCAAAGATTAAGAAACAATTGCTATACAGATATTACAAGTCTATGTTACAAGTCAAATATCCAGGCTTTAAATTTACCTGAAATTTGCTTCCACCAACTTGATTAATCAGGCTGAAATTATCCTACTTTAGACACATTATGCAAAGATCTCTCTCTGAAGAAGGCTGTATTTCTGCAAAAGGTGGAAAGAGAAGAGGATGACCAGCAAAGCAGATGGACTCAGTTACAGTGGCAATGGGTGCACCATTAAAATACCTAAAAAACCAGGTTAGGGACAGATCATCATAGAGAAAATCTGTGTGGTTACTAAGAGTTGACATCAGCTTATGGCACATAATTAATCGATCGATCGATCAATCAATCTGGTTACTGATTGTTTTACAAATTATAGATTTGTATTACGGTTTAGCTTCATTAGTCCAACTCCAATTAGAAGAGTGTGCAAGCTTTCAGGTTTTTCAGAACTCTTCCTCAGGCAACACCCCAAAATCTTCAGAACTCAAACTGATTTGGTAAAATGTTTCTTGATGTGGATGTTCTTCTCATGGGCAAGCTGCTTTCTCCTTTATACTTGATTACCGCTGCTAGCTGATTCTTTTATTGATGGTAGCTTTGCTGTTTAACTACTTCAATATTAAAAGTTGGGTTCAGACTTAGACTTAACCTATACTAGAACTTTGAATTTCACATGAAATGCATTGTGAGCTACATTATCCACAGAGGATAGGAGCTAATGCTACACAACTGGAGATAACAGCCCGGTTTGCACTCCGGCGAACAATCTAAATGCAGCATTGTCACGCAACATCCGCTTCTCCCTTGGCCTCGAGCCTCGTCCTTCAAAACTTCCGGTTGGGCAGGCGATGCGTGTCGGGATTGGTAGTCCTAAAGTGAGGCGTGGCGCGCGGCGGAGGAAGACTTTGCTTAAGCGCACAGGCCCCAAAGTGGGCGTGAGGCGAGGATGAGTGATCCGTTTCCAACGCGACGTAGGGCGGGGGAGGGCGTGCACGGGGAGTCGGCTTTAATCTCAAGACCGGCTTCGTTGCATCAGCTGGGGACGAAGCGTGGTTGGGAGGCAGAGGGAGGACGGAGCATGAAGCTGTGTCTGAGCGAAGGCAGCCTCGGTGGGCTGAAGGTCTTGGCGGCTGCCAAAGCCACGGGCGCTCCTGTGGAGCTGCAGTGGCTTCCGCAAGAGGGTGAGTGCCGGGAGGGTGGCGGTTCCCCCAGAATAAGGCGGCCCCTCCTCGCAGGGCCGGCCGGGCGGGGCAAAATCCAGTTTTATATAATTGAAACAAGTCCTAGAGGAATGGGCATTTATTGACATAAAACTCGAGTCAGTGAATAACAGAATTAAACGGGTTTTTCCTCTTTAGGACTTCTCTTTAGTCATTCCACTCTCTTTGCACTGTCCTTTAATTTCCCTGCTCCCCCATCACTTCCCCTGGGATAGTGATGGACTTTATTCACTTCTGCTTTTCTGCATACGTGGTTGAGAGTAGAGAGTCTGAACCTGCATTCGTGATAATACATTCACAAGTACCAAGTGATGGATCGACTGGAGTAAATATAACTGAACTTAACAGGTGTATTCCAGTATATGGCGGCTTATTCATCAAGTATCTTTTTTTGGAGGGGGGGGATTTTTCCTTTTCTTTCTATTTTTCTTCCCTGTTATCTCTTTTTTGTAAGGCTTCCATATTTGAATAGGTGCAGTGCAAGTAGAAATTTGATAGATGGAGCCTGCCTTATTCTCTAGTAGTTGCAAGTTTTGATTTGGAAAACACCTTTGCCAAATTTTCAGGGTGGGGTTTTCAGTCTTCAAGAGGAAGGGAAAATTGTGTTTTCAAGCAAAAGAAAACCACGTTGTCATTCCCTGGCCTTTGTGCGTGTGTACATCAACACACACTGCTCCTATTGTTATATCACCTTAATACATGCTGTATTAAATAGGATAAAATTTTGGGATGCGGATATAGTTTTCTCCTCTAATTTGTCATTCTTCTTTGACAGCTCATGTAGTCCCGTTCCTCACCCACCCACAGCTGCCAGTTCTGCAGCTGGAAAATGGATCCTTCCTCTTCTCCACAAATGCAATTTCTCAGTAAGTAATGGGGTGGTGAACATTCTCTGTTTCCAGGGCAAGCTTCTGGTTGGATACCTAATGTGATTGTAATGCTGGATAAACATTATAGGCAGATAGGAGCATCACTGAGTTAAGAAAAAAAAAAGAATGGTTTCTGAGAATCCAAAGAACTTTCTGTTTTGTGTTGATTTTTGCTGTTGCCTAATTTAATAGAGCGATTCTACATTGAGCAGCAGCCAGTTATATGATTTTACTTTCTTTCTGAGGATCCTGATCATGACTGTGCTCTTTCATTTAAAATGTGTTGCATTTGCATCCAAGCAGCCAGTAGTGCTCACATTTAGCAGAACTTTTCTTACATGAAGCAATAAGTACAATGGAGAGATGAGAGGAAAAAGGTGAAGCTGATGAAGGACATATTAGAAACTTCTTTTGTGCTACATAAACATCTTAAGGTTGTAATCTGGATAGTTATTTGCACATGTCCAGCTCCCTATCAGTGATTTTCCTACAGTATCAATGAACCTAAAGCATGCTGAGTGATAGAGACTTTAGCGTCATTGCCATGATATCTTTTTTGTCATAGAAATAGATAATGGTCATTTGAGAGAAAATATGGGACACCGTCGAGTAGAAGCTAAAGCTTATCCTAGCCTATGGCAACTCAAGCCACTGAGAATCAAGCATGCTTCTCTTTCCTCAGTACTGTCATGAGTTCTTTTTCCATCCCCCAACATGTGATGGGACGTTGAAATAGCACAACAGGGAGAAAGAGGCTAAGGGTGCCCCTTCCTGTTCTCAGTTCTTTGGAGCGGGAAGGAGAAACTTCTGCTCTTCCCACAGTATCCTTGTAATTGAGCCACTTGTATCGAGAATAACAATGGTATGCATTTCTAAACTGCTTCTTGGCCATATGGATAGCTATAGACATAGCTTTTAAAATTTTAAAAATCAAAATTACAAACCCAGTATACAGAAACAGTAGAAATACCCATTGTGCTGTCATTTGTTTGTCTGTCTGTCTGTCTGTCTGTCTGTCTGTCTATCTATCTA